TTGTTGGACTCCCACGGACTCAGAAGAAGTTCGATGTAGTTTGGGTCATTGTGGACAGGCTAACCAAGTCAGCGCACTTCATTCCTGTGGCAGTTACATATTCTTCAGAGTGGTTGGCTGAGATTTACATCTGCGAGACTATTTGTCTTCACGGTGTGACCGTGTTTATCATTTCTGATCGAGGTACGTAGTTTACCTCGCACTTCTGGAGGGCAGTACAACATGAGTTGGGCACGTAGGTTGAGTTGAGCACAACATTTCATCCTCAGACGGACGGACAATCGAGCGCACTAGTCAGATATTTAAGGATATGCTCTGCGACTGTGTTATAGACTTCGGAGGTTCTTGGGATCAGTTATTGCCACTTGCGGAGTTTGCGTACAAAAACAACAACAACTATTAGTCGATCATTCAGATGGCTCCCTATGAGGCATTATACAGTAGGCGGTGTCGTTCTCCAGTTGGATGGTTCGAGCTGGGGGAGGCTCGGTTGTTGGGTACGAATTTAGTACAGGATGCCTTGGATAAGGTCAAGATTATTAAGGATAGACTTCGCACAGCTCAGTCCAGGTAGAAGATTTATGTCGACTGTATAGTTCATGATGTTGCATTTATGGTCGAAGAGAGATTGTTGCTCCAGGTATCACCCATGAAAGGTGTGATAAGGTTCGAAAAGAAGGGCAAGTTGAGACCTAGGTATATCGGACCTTTTGAGATTCTTCAGAGAGTGGGTGAAGAGGCTTACAAGCTCGTATTGCCTCCCAGTCTATCAGCAGTTCATCCGATATTACATGTGTCCATGCTCCAGAAGTATCACTAGCGATTCGTCCCACGTGTTAGATTTCAGCTCTGTCCAGTTGGACGAGGATTTGACTTATGAGGAGGAGCCGGTGGCTATTCTAGCCTAGTAGGTTCGGCAGTTGAGGTCAAAGAGTTATCCTTCAGTTCGAGTGCAGTGGAGAGGTTATCCCGTCAAAGTAGCTACTTTGGAGTCCGAGTCGGACATGCGGAGTAGATACCCCACCTTTTCACCAGTCCAGGTACTTTTTATGTCCGTTCGAGCACAAATGATTGTTTTATGTGATGACCCGATAGTTCATCTTAAGTTTTAGAACCTAATTCTGCGCTTTGAAGCCATAAAATACCTCATTTTTGCCTCCTCGATTTGTGTGCGCAGTCTGGGCGTGTTTTCGGAAAGCTTTTATGTTAAAAACTAAGAAAATATGAAATTTTTTCCTTAAAATCCATTTGAGTTAACTTCGATCAACGCTTTGAGTAAACGAACCCGGATTCGTATTTTAATGGTCCCGATGGGTCCGTATCGTGATTTGGGGGAGTATGCACGAAATCGAATTCGGAAGTCCCTAACCGGAGTTATCGCACTTTGTTAAAATTTGAAAGTTAAAAGCTTAATGACTTTTAAATGTTTGACCAATATTTGACTTTTTAGATATCAGGTCCGTATTTTAGTTTCAGAACCTGATATAGGTCCAATACCATATTTATGACTTGCCTATCGAATTTGGTGAGAAACGAAGTTGGTTTGACGTGATTTAGACGTCTGGTTGTTAATATAGCAATTCTAAAGTTTCTTGAAAATTTCATTTGATTTTGGTGTTCGATTCCTAGTTCTAGGTGTTATTTTGGTGATTTGATCGAGCGAGCAAGTTTGTATAATATTTTAGACTTGTGTGCACATTTGGTTTAGATCCCCGAGGGCTCGGTGAGTTTCGAATAGGCTATACAGTGAAAAATTGGACTTAGAACATTGCTGGTGTGTTTCAGGTCTGGTGTAGGCCTCAGACCTTGCAATTGCAAGGTCAGGCTTCGCATTTGCGACCTCTGATAGGTTCGCATTTGCGAGCAACTCATCGTAATTGCGAAGAGTAGCTGGGGCACCACATGTTCGCATTTGCGAACAATTCTTTGCATTTGCGAAGTGGTTCAGGGGGAGATAGTAATTGCAAATGCGATCAAGTGGTCGCATTTGTGGAGATCATGGTTCGCATTTGCGATGGAAGCAGATATGTGAAGAGCTTCGCATTTGCGGGGTTCACATTTGTGGGGTTCGCATTTGCGAAATGCGAACCCCAGGTCGCAAATGCGATATCTGCAACTGATCAAAATTGGAGTTAGACGGAATTTTCATTCTCTCAAATTTTCAAACTTAAGAACCCTAGAGGCAATTTTTCAAAGGACTCTTCCTCCCCAAATCATTGTTAAGTGATTCTAAACTAGTTTCTTTCAATACCTCACTACTTTTCCTAAGATTTCAACCTAAAATCTAGAGTTTTCATGGTGGAAAATGGGGATTTGGGTAGAATTAGGAATTTTTGTGAAATTGGGTATTAGACCTCAAATTGAGGTCGGATTCCAAAACAAATTACATAAGCGGGTTCGGAGTGAATGGGTAATCGAATTTTTTTTTTCGAATTTCGGGTTTGGACCAAGCGGGCCCAGGAGTTGACTTTTGTTGACTTTTTTCATTGATGACTAAATTGAATCCTTTGCAATCGTGGGTAGTTCTTAAGGTTTAATTTGAATCGTTTGGTTGGTAATTTGCTAGATTCTATTGGTCCGGAGGCCTATTTGAAAAGCAAAGTCGTGGTTGAGCTTTGAATTGATCCTTTGGAGCGAGGTAAGTGTTGTGGTTAACCTTAACTTAAGGGATTAGGACATGTTTGTCTATTTGCTACATGTTTAGATGTAGGGTACAACATATATGTTAGGTGACTAGTACTTATGCGTTGTTGTCGGGTTATAACATGCGGGTGGGACTTGTTCTTGGCAATTATTATTTACTTTGGTCATGTTATCCATGCTTAGACTAGTTAGTTGTTAAATTGATTGTTCTTATCATGTTCATGGGCTTTTGTGATCTTGAGTATTGATTCCAATTAAAATTGGTATTGTGGAACCGTTGTTGAAGTAAGGCTTGTAATTGTTGATCCTATCTCCATGTTATTACTTGTTCGTTATTATATGGTAAGGGAGAGTGTTAATGCACGAAGGGTGATGTTGTACCATATTGTGAGTATTAATGCGTGAAGGGTGATGTTGTGCCATGTTATGAGAGTTAATGCACGAAGGGTGATGTTGTACCATATTGTGAGTATTAATGCGTGAAGGGTGATGTTGTGCCATGTTATGAGAGTTAATGCACGAAGGGTGATGTCGTGCCGTTTATATTGATTTAACAATGAGTGCGGGTAAAAGTACGAAGGGTGATGTCGTGCATTATCATTGTTTCATTGTGAGGTTGACAGTAAAAGCACGAAGGGTGATGCTGTGCAATTTTATTCATTGTGCTTAATTGTTTTTACTTGTTAAAGGCATATTGATTGTTCTGATTATCATTCCGTTGTATCTCTCGTATCTTGTATCCTCTTTAGCATGCCCCCCTTCCGATATTACATGTCTAGCTTTTATTTATTGTTATCTTGTACATATACTGTTATCTGCACAGGTTTATTATGTAGGTGTCTTGTCATAGTCTTGTCATTACTTCATCGAGGTTAGGCTCGACACTTACGAGTACATGAGGTCGGTTGTACTCGTACTACACTTTGTACTTCTTGTGCAGATTTTGGTACCGGCCCTAGCTGTCCGTGAGTTGGAGCAACTTGGACTAGTTTTGGAGACTCAAGGTAGATCTGTTGGCATCAGCAGATCTTGAAGTCCCCTTCTATTTTCTTGTTTCACTGTTTCTTTTATTTCTAAGTAGTTGTATTTCTTTCAGACTATTTGTTTTGACTTTATCTATTGAAATTGAAAGGAATTGACTTAAAGGTTCTCTAACGTTGGCTTGCCTAGCAAGTGAAATATTAGGTACTATCACAGTTCCGAAGGTGCGAATTTCGGGTCGTGACACAAAACTTAACCAATGGCACGGAAATAGACTATTTGTGCTAATCCCAATAAGAAATAAGCAGCAGGTTGGTTGTTCTGAAACATTAAAATGGATTTGAATGTATGATATTTCCTTAAATACAGAACCAAGACATGTTGAATGAGTTTCCTAAGGTCAAACCCATAAGTACCTTGTGAAGAATTGGACACTTTCGAATGAAAAGAGCAGCCATGATCTTTCTCCGATAATGAATGTGTCTGTTCTAGGTTCTAAACAAGCTAGGCTTTACATCTCCTTTTGGCATATATATTTACAAATTAAAATATGCAGATAAATTTCTATGTAATTCTAACAGTTATCCAATATCTTTTAGGCAAACAAAAATAAATATGTTGAATTGGACGAATAACAAAATAAGTCAAGATTCCTTGTTAAAACCTTTTCAATTGTTCAAGTACATGTCGGGATATTTGGCCATTTATATAAAGTCAAAGAAAATGGCTCAAGTATATTAAAAAGAGCCAAATATATTCCACACATTGTTAACTTGGAACAATCCTCGACTACGGCGGAACAAATGAAAGAGAAAACCCTAATATTGAGAGAAGGGAAATACAGAAGAGAGAGAGAGAATGAGTTGGTCAAAAATACATTGATCGAAACTGATTGATTTTGTATCTGTTGTCTCTTTATATTTACAAGTATAGAAAAGGAAAAAATAAAAAGTAAAATGTGTACTAGCTTGAGGGTGATACCCCCCCAAGCTTGCAAAGAATCTCACGATGAGGTTACCCAGTGAGGGACTTGATCATAATGTCTGCTAATTGATTTGAGGAAGAGACGTAATGGAGGGAAAGCAAACCAAAAGACAAACATTCACGAATATAGTGGCAATCAATCTCAATATGCATCGTATGCTCGTGGAAAACATGGTCTTTAGCCATGTGTAGAGAAGCTTGTGAGTCACAGAAAACAAAGACTGGGCTGGTGATATATAAACCAAGATCACCCAAAAGTCTAACCAGCCAAGAAATTTCAGCAGCCACTTTATGAAGAGTCCAATATTCGGCTTCAACAGAAGATAATGATAATAGGTTGCTTGTTACTCTTACAAGAAACAGGATTGCCACCAAGAGTAATATAATACCCACTAATAGACTTGTGAGAAACAAGATGTCCAATCAGAATCAGAATAAGCGAGAAGAGAAAAATTAGAAAAATTGCAGAGGAGAGCACCTTGAGCAAGGTCATTTATAAGATATCTAAGCACATGCAAAGCAGATATCATATGTGGGACTTGAGGTTTATGTAAAAACTGACTCAAACGCTGGACTGAAAAAGACATATCAGGTCTAGTATTCTGCAAAAAGTTCAGCTTCTCAACCAATCTTCTATACAAGCTAGGATCAGAGAAAGGCTCTCCCATATCCATAGTGAGCTTGACAGAAGGATCCAATAAGGTTGGTACAGAAGAGAAATGCTGACAATTGAACTCAGAGAGAAGATCAGAAGTGAATTTCTATTGACTCATAATATACCCTTGAGGATGAAGAGATATCTCTAGGCCCAAAAAATAGTGAACTGAACCCAAATTTTTGATCTCAAAAGTGTCATCCAAAAAATATTTTAGAGACTACATTTAAGATATATCACTACCAGCTAACAAGATATCATCAACATACACAGCTAATACAACTAGACAATCAGCAGTGGATTTGGTGAACAAAGAGTAGTCATTAAGACTTGAAATGTAGCCTCTGGAGATCAAAGCTTCAGACAGTTTTGAAAACCACTGTCTGGAAGCTTGCCTAAGAAGAATAAGAAGAAGAAAAAGAGCCACAGATATCAAGACCAGGTGGAACTTTCATGTAGACCTCCTCATGGAGTCACCATGAAGGACAACATTATTAACATCAAGCTGGAAGACAGTCCACTTGTTTTTAGCAACCAGAATTAGTAAGCATTTGATGGTAGTGAGCTTAACAACAGGGGAAAATGTTTCTGTAAAGTCAATTTCTTCCCCTTGAGAATCATCTCTGATAACTAGTCTTGCTTTATATCTTTCAATTGATCCATCACCTTTCTGCTTAATTTTATACACTCACTTATAAGGAATATCTTTCTTGTGAGGGGAAAGAGGTAATATTTTGTATGTCTGATTTGCCTCAGGAGCTGAAATTCTTGTAGCGTAGCCTCTTGCCAAGCAAGATTGGTAGCAGCCAATTGGTAGAACTGAGGTTCATGCATATGCAAGTCAACAGAGGATACATGTTACACCCCGCAATATTATGTTGATGTTATGCTCTGCAGTAATATATTACGATGATATATCGCAGTATTAAGTTACGACGATGTTGCACCCAATAGTATTGTACGTTGAATTTGTCGTAAAAAAATTGACATCAGTCCAAGAAAAAGATTATTTGGGGATTATAAGTGATAAGTAAATTCGTGAAGGTAAAAGGGTAAGTAAAATCGAAGAAAATAAATTTTGTCGAAGTTTGGCATTTTGGGATAAAATATGGCCCGAGCTAAAATATCCAGTATTTATGGACTAGTACCATGCAAGGTACCATATGACTACGTTAGTATAATGTATAAAGTATATTAAAAATACGTAAAAATTTTAAGTAATTTGAGATAATTTTTAAATTATGTGGGTAATTGATTAATTATCGGGTAACGGAACATTACCCGATTAACTAATAAGTGGTTAAAGATTCCTAATCTTCACCCACTCTCCACGTGACACAAGGCCACCAATTTAAAAAGATGACTCATAATTGTGGATAGGTGTCTTACACCTAAAGAATAGATAAAGTTAACTTTATCAAGATAAGACTCTTAAGTCTTTATCTTAATATAGGAATCTGAACAAAACAAAAATGTGATATAACAAATTTTAGTATCAAAACATCCCATGAATTATCACTAGTATACCAACCTTAGTTCAAGAAACGTGAGGAACAGAAGCTAAATGTCGTTCCAGAAAAACCTTCATAAGATCGATTTCGTTCATCAATTCAAAACGCAGAAGCTTAATCCGAGTTTTGGAGTTCTAAGTTCAATCCACGAAGGTTTCCAACAGAATATTATACGGAGATTTCCTACTCCAGGTATGTTAAGGCTATCCCTTTTTTCTTTTGTCATGATCCATACGATACGAACGAAACGTGCAAATGCACAAATTCCATAAATGACTCTATTCATAGAAGTATTATAGATATCTATGTTCTTGAATTTCCATGTGTCATAATATTTTATCATCTGTTCATGGGTCTCAGAAAAATACGAAAGTTGAAATGAGTTTATNTATATATATATATATATATATATATATATATATATATATGGGATATGGGAAAGGTTATGGCGTTGTATACGCACCACCACCTGATCAGCTGGTATACGTTGATGATTTTTGTCCACAGTGACCGATATGATACGATGGGATGCCCTCAGAGGCTGATGATGTTATGAGACATGTACCTATGCACGACATGACATTCATACACATATGCATGACGCTAAAAGTATTTCATGATTTACAGAGTTATTTAGACTTACAGGTTGAGTCAAGTACTCTATATTTCTTTCATGTTTGTTATGTACTTATTTATGTGCCTTACATACTCGGTAAATTTTTAGTACTGACGTCCCTTTTGCCTGGAGATGCTGTGTTTCATGCCCGCAGGCCTCGATAGACAGGCCGAGAGCCTTCAAAGTAGGCTATCAGCTCATCGGAAGATGTTGGTGCGCTCCATTTGCTTCGGAGTTGCTTGTTTGGCTGGTATGATTTAGACGTGTATTGTTTGGTATGGCGGGACTCTATCCCGACCTTTATGACATTTATGTACTCTTAGAGACTTGCAGACATATGTCGTGTACGTGAAAGATTGTACGGCCTTGTCGGCCTATGTTTTGAGTTTATAAATAATCATGTTGGCCTGTTAGGCCCGTATGTCACGTGTATATGATGATGTAATAAGAAAGATACATTACGTTGGTACTCGGTTGAGTAAGGTACTGGGTGCCCATCGCGGTCCATCGATTTGGGTCGTGACAATACCTTGGAAATGAAATTGGATGTAGGTGAGAGGACAGAAGAACATACATAATCTTTAAGGTGAACATGTTATTGGACAAGTCTAGAAGATCTTCTTAAAGGAAGAAATGAATTAGCAGGTGAAAAATCAGAAGAGGAAGGATCAGGAAGAGAAATTGGAGAATGATGAAGAAGAGAAGTAGAATGTGGAATAGGACTTGAAAATGAAAAAGAAGGATTGGCAAAAGGGGAAGGCACACTACTATGAGTAAAAGAGATAGGAGTGGGCAGGATATCTACAGAGTCAGGAATAGTTGGAGTGGACAAATAAGAGAAGATTCAGATTTATAGGAAAACACATGTTCATGGAAAACTACATCTCTAGAAAAGAAGATGGAGTGATTGAAAATGTTAAGGAGCTTATAACACTTTTTGCCACATGGGTAGCCTAGAAAAATAGAAGGTATGGCCATAGACTGAAGCTTATCCCTACCTACTTTAGGAGAAGTGGCAAAATATAAACACCCAAAAGATTTGAGGTATTCATAGGATGGAGGACCCATGCAATTTTTCATAGGGTGAGAGGTTCTTAATAGTAGAAGGAGGAATTCTATTGATGAGATATGTGACAGTTAGGATACAGTCATCCTAATATTTAAAAGGAAGATTAGACTGAAAAAGAAGAGCTCTAGACACCTCAAGGAGATATTTGTGTTTCCTTTCCACTACTCTATTCTGAGATGGAGTATGTGAAATGGTAGTTTGGTGTAGAATCCCTTCACTATTTAAAAACAGAATACACTCAGAGCTGCCCCGAAGTTTAAGAGCATTATCTGACCTAAAAGTTTGGATAGAAGACTTAAATGCACCTTGACCATGACTGTAAAAGCTTTAATAATGAAAAGTGCATTGCTTTAACAGGAAAGAAGGAGAGTCCAGGTAGCTCTTGTATAATCATCTACTATAGTCAAGAAATATTTGAATATATTATAAGTTTTAGTGTTATATGGATCCCAAATATCAATGTGAACTAGTTGAAATGGGGAAGTGAATGTATAACACTTTCAGGAAAGGGAAATCTTTGTTGTCTAGCCATTAGACAAATAGGATAGAAGAAAGTGTGTTTAGGTGAGAGTTTGTCAAACAAATATATAATAGAATTCATTTTGTGAAAAGGCATATGCCCTAGTCTTTGATGCTAAAATAAATCTACTTTATTAGAAGTAGATGAGTGATTATAAGAAGCAACATCAAAAACATGATTTACCACACGACTAGCTTTAATAGAAGGAACAAAAACAAGTAAAGAGGTACATGAATTAGAAATAGACATGGAAGTAGATGTAGTAGGTAAAAGATCTGCATCTGGATATATGTAGTATAGCCTTCCAGTAGCCTTATAAATTTCAGTGGCCTCTTCAGAGAAGGACCCTGTAAAGAACAGAGTGATTTGGTAAATAAAGCTGAACAATCTAACTGATAGATAAGTTGATGCATAGAAATCAGATTGAAATGAAAGGATGGAACAAGAATGACATGAAACAGGACTATGTCATGTTTGAGATGTAAAGAGCCAGTAGAAATAACTTTGGCTTTATATCCATTAGGCAAGGTGACAAGAAATGGTTTAGTTAAAGTTCGTACATTAAAAAGTAGGTGCTTGTTTGGAGTCATATGATTAGTAGTACATGTATCTAATATCCAAGGATTTACCGTTATCTATGATAAAGCAAATACATGAGAGTCCACAGAACCTACAACATAACTACTAGACAAACCTGCAAAATGTACAAAGGCAGTGTTATCCACATTTGAAGCATCATGAGCAGACGAAGATATGCGAGCCTATTGAAACAAGGTCAAAAGATGTTGGCACTGCTCTTTGGTGAAACCATGAGCTGATTACTTAGAAAACTGTATAGTTGGTGATACATTAACAGGTGTAGAAGAAGTGAGAGAAGGTTCAGTCTAGACACATGAAGCAGACTTCTTGTTCTTTGTGAAGTTGAAGTCTGGAGGAAATCTATGGAGTCTATAGTATTTGTCCATAGTGTGTCCAGATTTCTTGCAATATTTGCAAGAAACAGTTGTGTTAGGCCTCCTAGATTCAAAATTCACCTTCTGATTGAAATTCCTGTTCCCATTGGATGGACCAAGAGAAACCAAAAAGGAAGTTGTATCTCCAGAAAAAATTGTGGAAGAGGAATGAGCTTCCTTTTGACTTTCATCGTGCTGAAGAAGGGAATATGCCTTGATCGTGGCTGGAAGGGGATTCATCATCAAAATAGCACTCTTTACAGTTGAATAAGAGTCATTTAAACCATTTAGAAATTGAAATAATTGTTGATGTTCTATAAATTTAGGCAAGGTGCCACAAGAGCATACAGGTCCTACATAGGAGGAATGCAGCTCATCCCAGAGGCTTCTCATCTTTGTAAAGTAAGATGCTGTGTCAGAAGACCCTTGAGTAGTGGAATGAATTTCCCTTTGAAGTTGAATGTGCTTAAACCTGTTTGATTGTCCAAACCTATCATTGATGTCTTTCCAAACCTCCTTGGCAGTCTTAAAATACTTCACACTAGTAGCAATCTCTCTAGATGCTGAGTTTGTTATCCAGGCATTGACCATGTCATTACATCTTTCCCAATATGCATAGTAAGGGGAATCTGTTGTAGGTTGGCAATTCTACCATCTACTAGTCCCAACTTATTCTTTGCAGAAAGAAATATGACTGTACTACTTCTCCAAAGTACAAAACCAGACCCATTGAATGGTACAAACACCAATTGACTAGACACCAAATGGCTACCAGGGTTATCAGATGGATGAATATAAAGAGGGTGAGATGGATCCATCAGAAGTCGGAGAAACATCATCATTGTTCAATATACTACCCATTTTCACACCCCAATCAAAATAAATATGCAACAACAAAGACAAAATCGACTGAGAACAGTAGAGACAAAATAGAGATGCAGACAATAGAGATTCAACACATGCAAATAGGAGAGAATATATCAGCCTTCTTCTAAAAACCCGAAGAAGTAAGTTCTCGTCTAATCGCAAACCCCAGATATGATTGTTCTTTACAAGTGTGATGAAACGTCCATAAAAACCAAAGCTTCAGAAGCGATATACCTCAAGCAAAGATCGATGTTGTAAACCCCCGGATTTCTCTGATGAAAAATGAATGAATATTGTTTCGACCACCACCTTCACAATCGAAACCAAAATGATAGAAACTTCTGACGAGGGTACCATCGGAAGAAAGCTCACGATGAGAGGAATCTAGATTCCCGCTCTGATACCATGTTAATTTGGAACAATCCTCAGCTATGGCGGAATAAATGAAAGAGAAAACCTTAATATTGAGAGAAGAGAAATACAGACGAGAGAGAGAGAGAGAATGAGATGGTCAAAAATACATTGACCAAAATTGATTGATTTTTATCTGTTGTCTCTTTATATTTACAAGTATAGAAAAGGAAAGCATACAAAGTAAAATGTGTACAAATTGGGTCGGATCTTTTCACTAAACACTAGCAGGCCAGTTGTTTGCCTTTGTTGAACTAGGCTTGAGTCAGAGTCTGGTTAACAAACATTGTATTAAAATTGTCAACACTAGCACGTTTTAATCATGTTAAATTTAAATCATTATCACATCCAATCTTGGTAAAACCAAACTAGGACGATATGCGAAATAGAATGGGAGGTAACAATTTTCACATAATCAAAGTGCTAGTTGAGCCCATACTTAAGTAGTATTATTGAAGATTTAATGTCTAATTTGATTGTCTTAAAATAGACTAGGATTCTCTAAACCAGGGGCGGATTTAGGGGCGGAAGGGTGTTTATCCGAACCCCTCTGCCGAAAAATTACACTGAATATATAAGGTATAATCTGTTTATATATATATATATATATATATATATATATATATATATATATTATGTTTTGAGTCCCCTTGACATAGCTTAAAAGCATAGCTTTGTGGTCAAGGGGCTTCAAAACTTTTGTAAGGTCCTTGGTTCTATTCCCATTAGCCACAATCTTTTTAACTTTTTTTTTGAACCCCTTTAAGGTTAATCCTGTCTCCGCCACTGCTCTAAACATGATTACGTTATTATTAAGAGAGGGTATCTTGGCATATATCAACCGCGTTTGACAAAAGTGAGGAAGAAAACTTTTTTGACATTCATTTCTCTGTTATTCTTGAATTGTCATCATTCTTCTTTTCTCTTTTTTTTTCGTTCTTTGCTTTTTGAAAATGTTCACACGTAATAATTTCTCCTCAATTATTTTCCACTCTATAGTAAATAATACTTTTTATACTTGAGTTCATATATATACAATCATACATCCATTGTAGAAAAATTTCTTGATGGGAAAGATTAATATAAATAATTGGAACCTAATAGCTTTCAAATTGAAAATAAGGAATAAAATTTATGCCCATAGGAATTTCAGTCAATATATAGCTATTCTCTCTCTACTCTACTGTTAAACTAAAATATTGGAGAAAGAGAATATGGAACCATGATCTCACATTTTAATTGAGAAGATAAGAGAATAGAAATGATCCTTAAAGATATAAATAAATGGCTAGAAAGTCCCAATTCGAAGAGTACTTCTAATCTCGCTATTCTCTTGGCCACTAGTGGTGCAACTTCCCTACTCTATGTTAATTAAAGAGAGCTTGGTGTACGAAGTATTTTGGGTTCAAGAAAAGTTCAAAAGAAAAAAAAAAGTACCTCTAGGCGATATAACACAGACAGTTTACCCTAATGCAAATAGTAGTTTATCCTTTTATCTTATATATCCTTGAAAAAGTTTCTATTTATTTTTCTTTATTTATTTGTTTTACAGCTTTTGCTGTGTGTATTATTCGAGGTGAGCTTAGATTTCAAAGGGATGTCCAATTATGCTGTTCTTCTTTCTATTATTTTATTTGTTCACATGAAGTCATGAATTGAACAACTATACATGCATTACGAGTGTACTTTGATGTAGCTCAACTCTACGTGAAAGGGTTTAATTTTTATATATATACAATTAATTAATTAAGTTTAAATTATTGACGAATGTTCCTCAAACTGGATCTGATCAGCTAGGCATAATATTCCAGTGTTAATCACATAATATTTGTCTCATTAAGAAAAACAAAAAATGCCATGTATGTTTGGACACATTGCCAGGGGCGGAAGGGTTTCCGAACCCCCTTCGCCGAAAAATTACACTGTATATATATGGCAAAATCTATTTTTTCCCTCCATATATTATGTTTTTAAATCCCCTTGACACAACCCAAAATCATATCTTAGTAGTAAAAGGGGAAACCTTTGTAAGGTTATTGGTTCAGTTCCCACTTATTATATTCTTTTTTAATTTTTTTTTTTTTAAACCCCTTAGCGAAAATTTTGCCTCCGTCACAGACATTACTTCGAACAATTTTAAGCGTATGTATTGTCTGATCTTATGAATATCAATTCCCTTGGTCTCCATTTTTGGCTTTGTATAAATATTTGATAGAGTAAAAAGGAGGAGAGAAAAAGTCACTTGATGTGTTATTTGTCCCACGGAATTGCCTTTTCCAACTTTTATTCAAAAGTATGATTAGGGATCTTATCTTTATGACTGGAGACTTGTGGTAGCTTGTGTCTCACAAACTCTTAAGAAAAAAGGAAAATACCAAAGGAGATAGTAAATTTTACTGTAATTTGGTTAATTCATGATCTACATTCGCGGCTGGCTGAGATGAGAATCTACTATTTTGTAGGAGTATAAAAACATCGAGGGAATAACCTTGTAAATTAGTTACTATTGAAGATGTTTATACGAGTGGCAATTAAACTTTGTGTCTCACAAAGTCTTTCCATTAACTGAATTCTCTAGCTTTGAAAGTCTACATTGTGTTACCAAATGAGAAGGATTTTTTTAATATATGGTAAAAAGTTGTCTGCATATGGTGTTTATAATTTCATCAAACTATATTAATTTATATGACTAAGTCATAAATTAAGGTGATAATGTATGTGAATTATTTACGGTTTAGTGATAAAAGTGTATGTTAAGATTTGTCATGCATTTATTGAATTGATGTAAATATCGAATATGAATACTTTTTAACTTAATTTATAAGTATCCATAACACTTCCTCCAAGAAAAATATATAGCCTAATACAAAAGATTTATATTCTTATTTTTTAAAAATAATAATTAATTATGATAAATATATTTGCCTTCCCGTCTTAATATCAAACTCTATGGGTCCCTAAGGGCCGAGACTTCTTCCAACCTTAGTTGGAAGCGCGAGTCACCTATATATTTTTGGTCCAGTGTTAGCAACTTTGGAGCCATATTGTGCGTCAATACTACTTGAAGGACCATACTTATGTAATTTGAGACAAGGTATACTACAGTAACCATACTTCACTTGTATACTCACTTTTGGTTTAATTCAGTGTTGCATGTGATGTCTCTAATTTTGCCCCTACCAACAAAATCTAAGGACCAAAAATAGGAAAGGGTAGTCTTGAACAATGATAAAATTATTTTCGTGTGTTCTATAAATCACAAGTTCAAGTTATGTACTCGTAAAATGGTACAGTTGAATTTATAATGTGGTTTATAGACAAACAAATCGATTTGATCCCAAAATGATAAATAAATTAACTAAAATGCAAGACTTAGAGTTGAAATCGAGATATGCTAGCAGACAACTTGATTTTGAGAGCAAAGCTTCCGAAGGCACTAATACAAGTATCAATATACAAGAAATAAAGTGTTCTTGACCTTTCGAATAGTATGTAGCATAAGTATGTCAGAAAATCCGTGCCCTATACAATGGTGTTAAAGTCACTATTTATAGTTGTGCCTAGGGAACAAGATCCTAGGATCAAGCCCCTCTTAAATGATAATTATGGGCGCCAATGATGAATATATAACGGCAGACTATGAATGCCAAAATTCTCTATAACGGATTGTGTATTTAATACTACAGAATATCCTTTATTGAATGATATCGAGTGGCAGATATTCGTTTGTCTTTATTATCCATACTCCTTTCGGTGACAACCGTAGCTACTATCTCTGATCTTGGTTTTCACTTGTCTTGTTTTCCGTCTTGCCCTATTTCGACGTGTCACTCTATTATATGAGTATTTAATATGAACCGATTTTACCCGATATAGATAGTCCCCCTACTTTCCGGTGGCACCTCTTTGTGTCATCGGGAAATTGGTGAAGATACCTTTCTTGACGAAAAATTTCTGATCTCCTCTGAAAATGTTTCTGACACTTGATTAGGCGCACGTCTCTCCGCATTTAATGTCCCGAACACGCGTCACTCCACGATTTAGCAACACTTTTTCCGGTTCTCGAGGTAATTGTGTCCACGATTTTAACTGCCTACTCCTTTACCTATACGCCTTATTTTTCTTCTTTTACACTTCTCAATCTTTCGAACTCTCTCAACTTGTCTTATTCAACTTTTTCTTGCTTTCACTCTTCCTTACCCCTCTTTTTCAAAGAATTTTTACTTTCTCCTGCCATCCATGGCCTCCTCTTCCAAGAACTCCAGCTTTTCAAAAAACAAAGAAAGCACCGATGATGATGCCTCTCCTACGATGAACACCATTATTCCCAGAAGGCTCAGTACAATCAAGGATTTTGAAGAGAAGTTTCTTTTTGCTAGCTCCCGTACATGGGCTGTTGGTGTGTACCCCTCTTCCATCCGTCCTTCTAGTATTCCTGCTGTGAAGGAGGACTTTGGCTTCCATAATTTGTACATCATTGCTCCCGATCTGGCAGAGCAAGTAACCTTCCCAAAGAAGGGTTTTACGTACGTTTACACGTAACCTTTCACTTTGGGCCCATTCA